TTCTCTCAAACAATCACAAATTGGCCCAAGAGAATGGACTTTTGTGGTTACTGAACTGCTTTAATTTCTTTTTATAGAATAGGAAATGAAAATAAAGCCTGCATGGTAACAGGTGGGAAAACAAGAAATTGATAATTATCAAGTCACCAAATGCTATTTATTAGAAGACATTATTGATCATAGTGAAAATAATAAGGAAATGAATTCTCTTGAGATTAATTAATTTGACAATTCAGTTAAGGCTTTGGATACCCATATTACTTTTAGATATTTTTGATATTATCCATGAACTTTTAGAAATAAAATTAATAAAATTTCACTAGCCAAATAAAACATTATTCAGGAGACACATTTAAAACAAGAATTCAGCTTTCTCCTTCACAATTTGCACACAGGACTATAACTGAAAGAAAAAAAAGTCTGTAACAGATTGAGAGCAGATGGTTGGCTATCACATTTTTGAGAAACTGGTCGGTTGCTAGTTGACCAAGCTTATCTACTTAAAGGAGCTGAAGCTAAAATGAAAATAGTGCCATTAAAATCATTAATAAAATTTTGTCCTGGAGCACTGATTATCATCATGGAACTCCTCCAGTTTTTGAAAGTAATCCCAATCTATTTGGAGAACAAAGAAGCAACACTATGTAACAATGGCAGGAAAGGCAGTTCTTTAGAACTAAACTGACTAGAGAGAAAACAGAATTTGGCAGATAATGTCGCGGCCCGGATTGCAGAACGGGGGATGGACACAGAAAGAAACACACAGACACACACACAAGACGTACAAGACTGAAGTAGTTAATTCTACCAGTCGCTTTATTATATAGTTTTTCTATGTCCTGCAGCTACTTCCTGGCACGTGACTACCTTGGGCGTCTTGAGGAAACACATTTTCATTCCTTCCAGAGGATTGCTTAAGGGAAGCAGACCTTTGCATCTTAACTTCTTGTATCTTAACTTCTTTATCTCGTTACCGTATGCAGGACAATGAGATGCCTTGGCTTGTTTGCAAGACCCTAGGCGCTTGGTTATCTATCATAAAGCTATCTGTCGTGAGGAATAGTTCTGTTTGTCCAACAGGCCGTGTGGGGACCTGTTGACCTCTGGCGCCAAGGAGAGCACACCCAGTTTCACTGACTCTGGGCTTAAGCCAATTTGCCCAGGGACGGCCCCTACAGATAAAAATGATATACAATGATAACAATGCTTGATTCTGAGTGTAACTAATACTTTGAAAGAATACCTTTAAGAATTGAATTAATCATCAGGAAAAATATCCTTGTAAACTGTTGTAAGGAAAAAAAGAAAGGAAAAGCCAGAGAAGTTTGTTATATTCTCTTCTTGCTTCCAGAGTGGAATAGCCACCAACATTTCTTTAAAGAAAGGGAGGTGGATTGTATTGTACTGATACCGAATGTCAAAAAACTTCTGTACTCAACTAATGTTATCAATGATAGAAAACATAAAAGAACAAGTCAGAAGGAAAATGTAACTCTAACTTTCAAGAAATAGAATAGCCAAATATCATGTTGGTTGAACATGTTACACTTGAAAAACATTAAACTATCTTTTACACAAATTAAATACCTTGTGTATATTTGAAATATATATCAAGGTGGTTAAGAGCAGGGGCTCTGGAGACAGCTCTGCTACTTTCTAGCCATGTGTCCTTGAACAAGTTACTTCATCTCCATGCCTCACTCATCTGTAGCGTGGAGATAGTAAGAGTATGTATTTCATAAAGGTGGATTTGAGAATTAATTGAGATAAAATATATAAAACACTCAGAAGATGTATGACAAAATAAGCACTTAAGAAATGTTTGTTATAATTGTATACAATTATGAATATGTATTTTCCACTTCTTTAGATCAAAAAAGAAAAAGAATTAAGTTTACCAAATAGCATTTTCAAGTCATTGACTGTCTTAAGTCAGTTTGCTTCTAAATGAATTCCACGGGTTTAGTTGGAGTGGAGCAATTCCAGAAAGCCTACAGTAACTTTAAGGAAAAAGGTTGTAACTGACTCTATGGATACCTATATGTTTTTTATAATCCTCTCCCTTAACTAACTACTTGACCCTTTGAGTTGTTTCCCAGAAATGATGGACTCCGAACTCCTGGCCTCAAGTGATCCTTCTGCCCTAGCCTCCCAAAGTGCTGGGATTATAGGCGGAGCTATGACAGCTGGCCTGAAATAATGGATTTGCTAAAACAAAGGAATTGAGATTCTGAAGTCTCAGGACAGACTTCCTAATGCCAAGATTCACCATCCCCTACAAGCTTCCCCCAATGCAAGTAGCCCCTTGTGAGATACACCATGACCTGCCCCAAGGCATGTGGCCCCTCCTTTAAGAACCCATGATATCCCTTAGTGGGGAGACAGATTTGAGGCAGCTTTTCCTGTTCTCCCAACAAGAAGTCTGTCTGTCATATTAAAAACTGCTTTCTTCTTTGGCAATCTTTGTTGTCTCAATAATTGGATTTTTGTAGGAGGAGCAACTGAACCTAGACTGAAACCTCCTTGTGGTTTAGACAACAAGGTCAACAAGTTATTACTGATAATAAAAAAGCTGAAGGGGAATCATTTTTTCAAGGGCCCTTTTGTGAGTCTGGGTTGAACTAGAGCTGAAACTTGAACCTGGTTCCTTGCTGATCACTGCTTCACCTACTACTTTAGGTTTTACATAAGGTAATCCTTTGGCCATTTCCAGGGTAGTTTGGTTTAAGCTAAAAGATAGCAACCTATTGTTTTTATGCCCAGAAGTGCCACATTACAAGATTTAAAGTTGTTTGCTTAGCCAGGTCTGGCGCTGGGCAAAATTGAGGATTAGACAAAGCTGATGACCCATATCCTTAGTTTGAACTTCTGATTCCTACTGTGGCATTCTTACCTTAAGGGCTTTTAATATGAGTCTTTTCTCGGAGTTTTGAATTTTAAAAGGGTTATACTAGAGGTTGAGGAACATCTATTTTCACTATGGCTGCTGATATGAGTGCAGATATGCGAATGGCTGCCACCCTTCCCCACATGTTCAGTAAAGAATGATTTAAAAATAACAAAAATAATTTAGCCTGGGGAGGCAACAAAGTTTTGCTCATCTCACATATAATGTTCTCCCCATCCCTGCGTTTTGCTGCCCACCACCAAGTCATTATAAAAATATCTAAATATCTGACCCCTAAATGGATAAGAATAGGAAGAAAATCCTGCAGGTCAGAAACCATTTTGGTGGATTGAAAGTGTTAATTGGCTCTATGAACGAATTTCAATGACCCATGTATGTCTTTTTATAATCCTTTCCCTCTCACGTTTTAGATTCTGAGGCCAGTAGGGCTTGATGACCAAAACCATGTAATTTTAACTAACTGCACAACATTTTCGAGTTGTTTCCCAGAAATGGAACTTCTGCAAGACAAAGGAATCGAGATTCCAAAGACCCTTGAACAGACTTCCTGAATCTAAGACTCAGTATCCCTTACAACCTGTCCCAATGCACATAGCCCGTGGTTAATTTCAACACAACCTTCTCCAAGGCACATAGCCTCTGTGAAATAAAGGAAAATCTTAAGGCCCCCCAGCTGACTGGACACCCTCTTGGCCCAGGGGACCCCAGAATACCCTAAATCTGAGTTGCTGGCTGTGAGAAGGGAGGTCACACACATTTCATCATGCCCCCTTCCCTTCTTATAGATATCCTTTGTAACTCATTAACTGACCTAAGGCTATGCAAGACAAACCTAGTCCTCAATTTACATTACAAATTATTTGAGCCTGGGTATAAGGCTGGTAGCTTATCTCTGATTAACAGACTTTCTTATTTTAAATTAAAACATTCTAAGCCTTTAAACAAAGCTTCATTTCTTTAACCAATTACAAATTAAAGAGTCTTTAAACCCACCTATAACCTGTAAGCTCCTGCTTTGAGATGTCCCGCCTTTCCATGTCAAAACAATGTATGCCTTCCATGTATTGATTTATGACTTCATGTGTAATTCCTGTCCCCCTGAATGTATAAAACCAAACTTAACCCACCACAGTGAGTCCACTTGTTCAAGGCTTCTTGGGCATGTCTCTGAGCCATGGTTGTCAAATTTGGCTCAGAATATCCTCTGTAAATTATTTTACAGAGTTTGGCTTTTTTTGCTGTATTAATGATTTCTTTTTAAATTTCAGAATACTATGGGAGTACAAATGCTTTGGTTACATATATTGCCTTTGCACCGCCCAAGTTTGGCATCTTTTCCATTGACACCTCTCCTGAAAAGGCTGTACTCTCCCTCCGATAGTAGAGGAGACAGATTTGAGGCTGATTCTCCCATTCTTTGACTGACATCTTTTGTATTACAAATTCCTTTCTTCCCTGGCAATCCTCATCTCAGCAATTGGTTATTCTGTGCCATGAGCAATAGGACCGAGGCTGGACCTCTTTTGGGTTTGGTAACAAAAGATGTGTTGAAATGTTCTTGAGGAAGACTTGGAAAGGATTATTAAACAGGAGGATAAAAAAATAATTCTGAAAGTGTAATGAATAAAAGTTAAAACTTCCCTTAGCCTAAAATATTACTTTTATTAATAACACTACAGTGCTTTAGAAGCTACGAGGGTATATTTCTCATTCTTTGCACCTTCCTCTTAATGATTTCCTGCCAACTAATGATTAGAATCTTTCAGTACAACCCTCTTTAAGGAGGACAGATTAGACAATGTTAAAGACGATAAAGTAGGTGGGTTCTCAGCACAGAAAATGACATAGACACTGTCATTTATTTTGAAAAGTAAGCATTTGATAGTCTTTGAAATGCTATTGTATAAATTCCAGAAAAATGGCATATTTTTCCAGAATTTCATATTTTTCCAAATTCATATTCTGGAACAGAGTAAGGCACCTTGAGAAAAAGAAATCCTGATTTAGTCTTCAAGAATGTTTGTGTGATCACTTTCCCTGAGAGCTAAATACAAGTATTACTCTCACAACACATTTTTTTTCCCTTCTTTAGAATTATTACCTGTGCTATGAGCATGAAACGCTACGTGGAAGCTAACATTTCTCAGAAGTCCCATACTACCATCAAGTACTTTATGAAGATGTGGAGCAGTGTTAGTGACACTCTTATCTTCATCTTCCTTGGTGTTTCTACCATTGGAAATAACCATGAATGGAATTGGCCTTACATTTGTTTTACTGTTTTTTTTTGTCTTATTTGGAGAGCATTAGGTACGGTGAATATTGTTATTTATTTAAAAATATGCCAACTAAACTTGGGATTTGCATTAGAAGCAAGAAATTTAAAATTGAAATATGCTATATTTGCTTTACTTCTCATAGGTATACTTTTTAATATCTCCATTTACATAGGAAGTGTGTAATAGCAAAGTTAAGAAACTGTCTCTGGAACCTGACTACCTGAATTTAAATCCTAGCTTCATTTTTTAGCCTTATGTTTTTTTTT